CCTCCTCCTCCTCCTCCTCCTCCTCCTCCTTCTCCTTTTTCTCCTATTTTGTCTCTTCCTTTTTCTCCTCCTTTTCTCCTCCCCCTCCTCCTCCTCCTCCTCCTCCTCCCTCTCCTTCTCCTTCTCCTCTCCTCCTCCTCCTCCTCTTCCTCTCCTCCTCCTCCTCCTCCTCCTCCTCCCTCTTCTCCTGCCCAATGACCCCGCCGACGACGCCCGCCCCTCGACGACGACGACGCCCGTCGAAGACGACCCACGACGACGCGGCGTCGTCGTGGGTCGTCGAGGGGCGTCGTCGACGCCCCTCGACGGGCGCACGAAGAGACTCGGCTAGGCATGTGCGCCGAAGGCCCGGACGGACTGGCTGCCAGATCGGCGCAGCTTGTCGGTGCCGATCTGCAGTCGAAGACCGTGCTGGCCGTGCCGTGCCACGTCAAGAAGGAAACGCACGAGAACACATGCCGACTCTGAAGGCCCTGGACCCAATTATGTTGACGTCTCACCTCTACTCCCGCCGGCTTCCACCGATGACGACACGCGCCGAAGGCGAGGCTCTTATGATGAGAAGGTTCAGGAGGAGAGCTCCCCAGAACAACAACTTCTCAATACCTGCTTGAAACCTACAGAGGCCTCCTCCTCTTCCCGCCTTCCCCGTTTTTCATCCTGCTCCTCCTCTCTCCTCCGATTCCTTCGTTTCCTAGTCCTCCTCTTTCCCCTCCTCCTCTTTCCCTTCCCCTCCTCCTTTGCCCTCCTCCTCCCTTCTCCTGGCTTAACCCCATCCTGTCTACTCAATATTCCTCCTCCTCCTCCTCCTCCTCCTCCTTCTCCTCCTCCTGCTCCTCCCCCCTCCTCTTTTCTCATCTCTTCCCCGCCGGCCGCGGGAACCTTTTGGTCCAGCCGCGGCCCGGCCACAGGAGAATTTTCTCTCCCCCGCCCACGCAGCTTCGCCTCGCCCGCACGCGCGGCACGAACACGAAACCGAAATCGATTTCCCGGTAGTGGGGCTCTCCGTTCCACTTCGATCTCACCCCCCAACCTCCGATCGTAGTGGCAATGGTGGGCAATGAGCACAGTGCTTCCCTCCCGTAATACTTCTAGTGCCACTACCAGTGTGCTAGGCTGGTGGTGTTGCTTCTGCTGTGTCAATCATAGGTGTGCTAAGGCGGTGGTCTATTAGTGCCACTGATAATTGTGCCAGGATCGTGGTCGTGCCAGTCGTAGTTGTGCTGATAGAAGGCTACCCATAACTGGTCGTAATGCCCATCGTGCTTGTGCTAGGCTCGTGGTATTGCTTCAGCTGCGATTTCTCCATGTCCGTCGACACTTCCTGGTTCGCATCATCCCACCACGGCCGCTACTATCAATCTTGCTGCGCCTATTAAGTACTACTACTACTACTACTACTACTACTACTACTACTACTACTACTACCAACACCACTACTACTACTACTACTACTACTACGACGACTACTACTACTACTGATAATACGACTGATACGACTGCTACCACTACTACTATTGCTACCACCACCACCACGACTACTTCTACTACTACTACTACTACTACTACTGCTACTACTACTAATACAAATATTACGACTGCTGCTACGAGTACCACTGCTACGAAGAGAACTACAAGTACAACTACGCTGACGACTAGTACTACTACTGCAGCACATACGACTACTACTACTACTACTACTACTATTACTACTACTACTACTACGACTACTACTACTACTGCTACTATTACAACTACTGCTACTATGACTTTTACGACTACTAGGACTACGACGGCGCCGACGACTCCTACTGCTGTCACTACTACGACTAATCTGACCAATACTACTGCTGCTACCACTAGTAATGTTACTACTACTACCACCAATACTACTACTACTACTACTGCTACTACTACTACTACTACTACTACTACTATTACTACTACGACGACTGCTGCTACTACTATCACTACGCTGACGGCTACGACTACAACTACGCCGACGACTCGTACTACTATTACTGCTGCACACTACTACTACTACTACTACTACTACTACTACTACTACTAGTACTACTGTTGTTTTACTGCTACTGCTACTGCTACTACTACTACTACTACTACAACTACTACTACTACTACTGCTGGTACGACTACTACGACTATTACGACTACGACAACGACGACTACTAGGACTACTACTACAACTACTACGACGACTACGACTACGACTACGACTACGACTACGACTACTACTACTACTACTACTACTACTACTACTACTACTACTATTACCAGTACTACGGCTACACTACTACTTCTACTTCTACTTCTACGTCTACTACTACTACTAGTACTAGTACTACTACTAGTACTACTGCTACTACTACTACTACTGCTACGACGACGACGACTACTACTACTACTACTACTACTACTACTACTACTACTACTAGTAGTACTACTACTACGACTACTACGACTGCTACTACGGCTACAACTTTACTCAGACGGCTACTACTACTACTACTGCTACGACGACGACGGCGACTACTACTACTACTACTACTACTACTACTACTACTACTACTACTACTACTACTACTACTACTACTACTACTACTACTACTACTACTACTACTACTACTACTACTACTACTACTACTACTACTACTACTACTACTACTACTACTACTACTACTACTACTACTACTACTACTACTACTACTACTACTACTACTACTACTACTACTACTACTACTACTACTACTACTACTACTACTACTACTACTACTACTACTACTACGACTACTACGACTACTACTACTACTACTACTACTACTACTACTACTACTACTACTACTACTACTACTACTACTACTCCTACTCCTATCCTTATTCCTTATTAGAATATACTCCTACTCCCCCCTCAGGCCGGCCGATAGGGGCCGCATCCGGGTGGTCCCATCCTAACCTGTAAAAAACAATACAAAATCAACATTTTTCTTATTTTTTCCTCTCGACATGGACGTCCTGTCGTCCACGGCGATAATCCATTGCAAAAAATACCACAAAGAGCACACGCGCGCGTTCATGTCAGAATCCTACCGAACACCGTGTGTTTGCAAGCATTTCAACATAAAAACATCAAAAAACCCAATTTTTTTTCACAAAAATTCTACAAATTTCCTGCCCGGGCTCTCTTGCTGAAATCATAGGAAAACCATAGGAATCTTAAGAATTCGGTCAAATCCAGCGATTTCACGTCATCGCGCGGTGCACTCGCGATGCTCTGTCATGCACCCAGGCCGCGAATCCTGTGCAAAAAATACCACGCGGGCGACATGCGCGCGCGTCGCCGCGAGCGCATGCTCAAATCCTTCTAGAGTCGTCGCCGTCATTGGCACCGTCGCATGGACGTCCTGTCGTCCACGTCGCAAAATGCATAGCAGGATCCAATCCGTCCCATTCTAATCTGCAAAAGACAATACACAGTTTTTGTTTTTCTTGTCAACATGGTCGTGCTGTCGTCACGTCGCAAAATGCGTGGCAGGAATGGGACGCGGCGCACACCCCGCGCGAAGGGGTGACATGTCGCTCTCGCCTCGGCGCCGCGCACCAACGTTTTTCCTCTCAGCATGGACGTCCTGTCGTCCACGTCGCAAAATGCTTGGCAGGAATGGGATGCGGCGCACACCCCGCGCCCGCCCATCCAAACCCCCCCTTTATAAAAAACAATACAAGTTGGGGCCTTCAGGCTTCCTGCGGTGTACCGGGCCATTCTCGACTCGTCTGGCAATGCGTGCGCGGCATTCAACACGCGCTCGCCAGTTCCCGTCGGCAACCGCCATCGCGGCCGCATCAGCTGTACCAAACCGGCTGGCCGGTGTGACTTCGGCCCCCAGTTGTGCCAGCTTTGCTTCTTATGTTGTGGGAGGGCGGGTGGGACTGGGCATGCCATGCTTGACTCGCTCGAGCTGGCTAGCTTGACTCCTACTCCTACTCCTATCCTTATTCCTTATTAGAATATACTCCTACTCCCCCCTCAGGCCGGCCAGATAGGGGCCGCATCCGGGTGGTCCCATCCCAACCTGTAAAAAACAATACAAAATCAACATTTTTCTTATTTTTTCCTCTCGACATGGACGTCCTGTCGTCCACGGCGATAATCCATTGCAAAAAATACCACAAAGAGCACACGCGCGCGTTCATGTCAGAATCCTACCGAACACCGTGTGTTTGCAAGCATTTCAACATAAAAACATCAAAAACCCAATGCTTTTTCACAAAAATTGTACAAATTTCCCGCCCGGGCTCTCTTGCTGAAATCATAGGAAAACCATGGGAATCTTAAGAATTCGGTCAAATCCAGCGATTTCACGTCATCGCGCGGTGCACTCGCGATGCTCTGTCATGCACCCAGGCCGCGAATCCTGTGCAAAAAATACCACAAAGAGCACACTCGCGCGTTCATGTCAGAATCCTACCGAACACCGTGTGTTTGCAAGCATTTCAACATAAAAACATCAAAAACCCAATGCTTTTTCACAAAAATGCTTTGGGGTGTCCTGTCAGACCGTCGGGCTTCCTCCGGCCACCTCTGGCTTCCTGCGGTGTACCGGGCCATTCTCGACTCGTCTGGCAATGCGTGCGCGGCATTCAACACGCGCTCGCCAGTTCCCGTCGGCAACCGCCATCGCGGCCGCATCAGCTGTACCAAACCGGCTGGCCGGTGTGACTTCGGCCCCCAGTTGTGCCAGCTTTGCTTCTTATGTTGTGGGAGGGCGGGTGGGACTGGGCATGCCATGCTTGACTCGCTCGAGCTGGCTAGCTTGACTCCTACTCCTACTCCTACTCCTACTCCTACTCCTACTCCTACTCCTTCTACTACCACTGGTACTACTCCTACTACTTCTACTATTTCTGCGCCTGCTGCTAATACATCTGATACTCATACTGCTGCCACCATCACCACCACCTCCGCTACAACCACAACCGCCACCTCTGACCCTGACAAGGCTGTGCTGAGAGACGGCCGTGGTAGTGGTAGAGGTGGTGGCGCCATCTGGTCTCCGAGTGGAACCAATCTGGGCTGTTATGAGTTGGGGCCTCTTTCAATTCCTATTGCATGCCTGTAGGTTTCCCCATGCAAAAATCCAGTACGGGTCCTCTGAATCGGGGGGCTGCGCTGACCCTCTCGATACCCTCTATGTGGGTTTCAATGAACATCAGCTTGAAATCATCTGAATCTGGTTTCTGCTGCATCCCTATTGAATTCCGAGTGGGTCTCCATGACCATCTCCTTGACATCATATGATCCGGGGGTCTGCTCCATTCCTACTAGTTTTGCTTTGAATGATGTGCTCTGGTGGCTCGGATGGTCCCGTCGCCTAGCCCCCTGCAGCAACGCACATCAAACACATAACGAAACAGATAAAGCATGCAGTACACTCAGACATTGCGGAAAGACTGATCTTCGGCGTCCCCTCCTCCGCGGCGCCGCCTCCCTCCCCCAGGGATGCGCCCCAGCCGGGCGCGGGCCTGCTCCTCCTCAATCCTCCTTCCTCCTTCCTCCTCCGCCTCCGCCTCGACCTCCACCTCCTCCTCCTCCTCCTCCTCCTCCTCCTCCTCCTCCACCTCCACCTTCTCCTCCTCCTCCTCCTCCTCCTTCTCGACGACGGCCCGCGAGAAGGCAGCGCCACTCCCAAGAAGAACGACCGCCTGTTTCGAAGGGGTCCATCTCAACCGTGGCGCACCTCGGCCATCGTCGTCGTCGTCGTCGTCGTCGACGTCGACGTCGTCCCTCGATGCTCGAGGTCTCTAGGCCTTTCCAGGCCTCGTGGGGCTCTCGCGCTGCCGCGGCTGAATCCACCCCGAGATTCTGGCCAGAGCGTGTTCCAGGAGATTTCTGCCTGGGGTGGTCGCAGTCGCGCTGTCGTCGTTGCCAACGTTGTCGCCGTCGCCGCCGTCGCAGTCGCTGTCGCCGTCGCCGTCGCCACCGCCGCCGCCGCCGCCGCCGCCGTCGTCGTCGTCGTCGTCGTCGTCGTCGTCGTCGTCGTCGTCGTCGTCGTCGTCGTCGTCGAGGAGGGCGTCGTCGCCGAGAGGAGGGGAGACGGAAGTGGCGGAGGAACGTCGTTGCCCCACTCCTCCTCAGTCTCTCTCCCCTCCCTCCTCCCTCCTACTTGCCTCCTCCCTTCTCTTTCCTCCTCCTCCGCCCTCCTCCTCCTGCCTCCTCCCCCCGGGTGCGCCCGCCCCCCCCACCCCCACCGCGAGGGAGGGACAAGGGCCCTCGGGGACGATACAATAGTGCAACAAAGAGAGCGTCACTTGGACGGTGGTGTGTACCCGCGTGAGAGACGCGAGCCCACATTATGCGGTGGCGAGCGAGGGGGGGAAATGAGAAGGAGAAGGCCTTCTCAGAAAGCGCCGGGACTTCTCAGAAGCCCTCGCGCCTTCTGCGATTTTTTGTTGTCTTCGGGGAAGGCTTAGAAATGTTCTCAGAAGGCCGGGGGACTTCCAGGAGGAGGAGGAGGAGGAGTAGGAGGAGGAGGAGGAGGAGGAGGAGGAGGAGGAGGAGGAGGAGGAGGAGGAGGAGGAGGAGGAGGAGGGGAGCAGAGAGGGAGGAGCAGGAGGAGGAGGGAGGAGGAGGAGGAGGAGGAGGAGGAGGAGGAGGAGGAGGAGGAGGAGCAGGAGCAGGAGCAGGAGAAGGAGGAGGAGCAGGAGCAGGAGCAGGAGCAGGAGGAGCAGGAGGAGGATGAGGTGGAGGAGGAGGAGGAACGAGACCTTTTGAGAAGGCGTTCGTATTTGGGGGAGCAGGGCTTCTGGGGCCTCCTGGAGCTCCCAGGGGCTCGTGGGGCTTCCTGAGGGCTTCCTGGGGGCCTCCCAAGGGTTTCCCTGGGCACCTCCTGGGGCTTCCTCGGAACCTCCTGGGCCCTCCTGTATGGGGTCTCCTGGGGGCCTCCTGGGCCCCCCAGGGGCCTCGCAAAGGGCCTCCTACAGGTCTCCTGGGGGGGGGCAGGCGGGCCGCGCCTGGGGGCGCACGTCGGGGGAGGCCCGGGCGACCGCTGCCAGCACGAACGAGAGAAGAGGGGGGCGCACGAGCCCTCGTCGCTGCGCGGACGAGCGACGATACACAACGAGCGGGTCTTGAACGAGATGCCATGGCGACCTTACGCCACGGCCTGCGCGGGCCACGAGCGCGGCACGCCACGTTGACGACGAGGGCGCTTTATGCGCTATGCGCGGCCTTGCGCGGGCAACTTGCGCGCGAATATCGGCGAACACGGCCTCTCTGGCGTCGCTCAAATGAAGAAAACCCATCGTGACAAAAACGATCGTTATCTTGACCTCTTGCTGCCTGACTCGCGCGATGCACGGCACGTGCGCGCGAATACCGCAACCTCTGTTGGACCAGGTGAGGACCTCGAATCCGAAACGCGTCGCCCTCTTAACGATGCTTGAGATCGGGAATGCATCAACATGTTTGCCACCGTGTACCTCACAACCGTGAAATCCTGCACTCTGAGGTGTGACGTACGAGCCCCAATCAATGGGGTAGATGTGGTGCGATCTACGTGGTGGAATTAATTTCTGTTCGCAATGAGTTGTCCACTCCACTGCTCGCGCAAACATCCCACCCACCCACCCGCAACTTGGTTTGCAAAAATTCTGAAGACCGTGACGGTGGGTACCACATGGCACTTGGCAACAACAGCGACGCCGACGACGACAGCGACAACGACGATGACGACGCCGCCGACAACGACTACGACGACACCGACGACGTCTCCAACGACTTCGACGACGCCGACAACGACGACGACGACGACGACGACACTGACGACGACGACGACACCGACGCCGACGACGACGACGATGACGACGACGACGACGATGACGACGCCGACGACGACGATAACGACGACACCGACGACGACGACGCCGACGTCAACGACGCCGACGCCGACGCCGACGACGACGACGACGACCGGCGGCACGACGACGACGCACGACAGTCGACGACGACGAAGACGACAACGGCGCCGACGCCGACGACGACGACGAAGACGACGACGACGTCGCCAACGAAGACAACGAGGAAGGAGGGAGGACGACGACGGCGACAACGACGACAACGACGAGGGAGGAGGGAGGACGGCGACGACGCGAACGACGAAGAAGGAGGAAGGACGGCGACGCCGACGACGGCAACGACGAGGGAGGAGGGAAGACGACGACGACACACCGACCGACGACGACGACGGCGACGAAATAGGAGGGACGACGACGAGACGCCGACGACGGACGACGACGACGACGAGGGAGGAGGAGGAAGGACGACCACGGCGACAACGACGACGGAAACGACCACGCGCGCAAAGAGGACGACGACGGGACGAAACACGAGGAAAGACAGAGGACGACGTAGGCACGACGACGACGACGACGACAACGACGCGGGAGGAGGGAGGACGGCGACGACGACGACGAAGACGACGACGACGCACGCTTTTGTTGAAAATCCGTGTTGCGAAACCTTGTGTTTTTGTATGTTTTTTGGACACACGATTTTGAAATCCTTCCGAAACCGATGGGTTTTGAAGGTTTTCGGCATACGCGCGCGACGACGCGCGCGTCTGCACTTCGTTTCATTTTTAGCAGGGCATTCTCGCGACGGCACACGCACAAGGGCGTTCGACAGATTTCGACATGAGCGCGCGCGAAGCCCGTTTGGTAGCATTTTGTGAACATCTAGGAAAACCTATGGTTTTCTTAAGATTTCGCAAGAGCTTTCGCGGAAGCTGTTTTAGCAACTCTGTGTTGCGAAACCCTCTGTTTTTGTATGTTTTTCGGAAACTCGATTGCGAATCCTTCCCGCACCGAATGTTTTTGAAGGACTTCGGCATGCGCGCGCGACGACGCGCGCGTGTGCACTTCGTCTCGTTTTTTGCAAGGGATTCGTGAACAAGTGCTATGTTAGAACCAAAAATGTCACCGCATAGTGTTTTTTTACAAGGGAACCTCAGGGGGGGGAAACCGGCCTAGCTGGGATGGTATGATTTCATATTTAGGATGGACGAGTGTGCAGAATATATATATATATATATGAGAAATCGTACTATCCCAAGGGGAACCGATAAGTCCGGGGGGGGTAGAGTCTATTTTCTTTATACAAAGGAGAATATATGTGGTGCGATATCGGTGGTGCAGTCTATGTAATAAAATGCGTGAAGGTGCAGTTCCACGCGGTGCGCTGCACTGGGTGCAGTCTCAGGGCGGCGGCGACATCGCGGGACACACGGACCACGCGCGACGCGGCGACGGGCGGCGGCCGGGCGACATCCCGCCAGACCCAACCGGCGCACGCGGGGCAGCAAGAGACGCGGCGAGGCGAGCGGCGACCAAGCGAAGGTCCAGAAAAACTCGGGGCAGCATGCCTTCGAAGGGGCCCTGGGACACACAAAGAAATACACACACAGGTGACAGGATTCCCCATCTTTTCCCATGGTTTCGGGGTTTTTGTCTCCCCCCCAGTTCCCATATGTTTCCGTACTTTCCTGGGCGTCGACGATTAATCGTGTCTGTGTGTTTTTTCCCCTCCTGAACCTTTTTCGTCGCGGCGCGGCAGAGGCAATCCGCTCGCGCGAGTAGCAACACCGGGCCACGGAATCGCGAATCGGCCCGCAGGCGAGAGTGATATATTCGAGCATCAGGTGATGATCGATCCGATTGCCGTTTCTGGCAAGGTTGTTGCGTACACAGTTTCAGCACAGGCGGGAGAGACGGGTTTGCAGCAGCAGCGCTTCCCCACATCCACATCAATTTGCCTCAGAGGCCCCTCAGAGGGCCGTGCTAGAAGCAGGCATTTTGCATTGTGCACGCGTCGAGTCTAGGAACAAAGCCATTGTGAGGGACGCGGGGGCGCTCCCACGCGGCGAGCCGCCTCTGGGCTACACGCAGGACGGCGACCAAGCGGCGACGGGCTCGGGAGGGTGGTAATGAGGGGCGACCTCTGTGGGGGGTGAAAAGAAAAGGGCCCTAAAGCGGCACTTTAGGGCCCCTTTTGGAGCCAGCAGAAGCCACAAAGGGGCCCGACGTCGTGCGTTTCTCGAGACGGCTTCCCTGAAGGCCTGGACCTTCCCCCCAGGGCCGGCTCACCCCGAGACACTTCTTGACGCCCGGCGAGGCCACCCTTGAGGCCGACAACCGCGAAAAGCCTTCGCCTCGAACTTCTCGAAACGTTGGCGGCCGGGCCTGGGCCGCGCACGGGGCGGCGACCAAGCGGCGACGGGCGGCGACTAGCGACAGCCCGGGAAGCCACGCCCTCCGATGAGGCGGGCGGCCAAGAAGGCCACCTGGCGACCACCCGGCCAGGCCGGCCAAGCCACACGAGGCGGCGGCGACGCGGCGACGCGCGGGGCCAAGAGGCTGGAGCAGGGACCGACCGTCCGGGCATTCCTGCAGGCCCACTGCGAGATTCTCCCAGAACCCAGAGGTGTTCCAAGAGCCAAGACGCTGCTCTCAGATCGTCACCCAGAGGCGTTCCGACAGAACAGTCTCTCAGCCAGAGCTGTTCTGAGAGCCTTTCGTGCAGACCACGGCAGGTTCTTAGAACGCTCGAGGGTGGGCCTGTAGGCGAACCAGGACGCCTCGCCACTGCTTGAGAGGCTACGCGGTGGTCCTCGCTCGCTCGCTTGTGCCGTAGGCTGCGGCAGCCCATGGGCGTGCATAGTGGCATACCAACTATGAAAACGAACATGGCGCACATCGTGTCGCCATGTGGAGTCGTCACTCACTGCATCTTGAAGCCGGCTGCTGTCCCCAGCCGAACGGATTGCGTCGGGCAACGCACTTCGGACCCATTCCTTCCCAGGTGCTCCAACTCGGCGGACGCACCCGTCGGTGGCGATATGGTGCTAATACGCGTCAAGGCCCACAAGTGCCCCAATCTTTCCACTGCGGCCCCGATCTTCCCCCAGGCAGCCCAAGAGGCCAAACGCCTCTGCCCTCGATCCTCCTCAGGCTTCAAATCGACGGCGAGCGAGGGGGGGAAGTGAGAAGGAGAAGGCCTTCTCAGAAGACGGCGGGACTTCTCAGAAGCCCTCGCGCCTTCTGCGAAAATTTGTCTGTCTTCGGGGAAAGCTTAGGAACCTTCTCAGAGGGCTGGGGGACTTCCGAGCCTTCTGAGAAGACCCGCCCCTTCTAACTCCCCCCCCTCGCTCGCCGCCGATCGGAGTGGCTGTGGCAGAGTTGCCCCGACCGGACCGGGTTGAGCTGACCCCGTTTCGGAGACCTCTGCGCTTTCCAAGCCCCCCCCCCTAATCAAGAACTTCAGTGCATCAAGACGTTGGCGCGCCCGAGACGACTGCAACCGTGGCTCGAAACATCTTCCGATCTTCGTGCCCTCCACAGAAGCTTTTCGAAATCCCGGTTGGCAATGTCCTGGTTTAGGGTTAGGTGGGCATGTCCTCCTACAGGCGGATTTTGGAAGAAGAATATAAGTGAGTCAAAGTAAGCAAAAAAAGTCCCAAAAAGAGTTCAAAGAGTACTCAGGATCGTCCCCATACTATTCCTTTGCTATTCTTGAGTCGTCCTCCTGCATAGCGGGGCAGGCCCGACTCAAGTCTGAGGGGAGCCCACGTCTGGCGCCAGTGATGGCCACCGGCTGGCCCCCGCGACGAGGGGCCCGCCCCGCCCAGCGCCGGTCGCGCCGCGCCGGGGGGCGCCGAGCGAGGGCGCCATGCCGCCCCACGCCGGCCCCGAGGGGGTCCTCCCTGAGGCCTCGAAGTGGCCGCGGCGGGGGCCTCCTCGTCCTCGTCCTCCTCCTCTCCTCCTCCTCCTCCTCCTCCTCCTCCTCCTCCTCCTCCACCCCCTCCTCCTCTCCTCCTCCTCCTCCTCTTCCTCCTCCTCCCCCCCCCCCCCCCCTCCTCCTCCTCCTCCTCCTCCACCCCTCCTCCTCCTCCTCCTCCTCCTCCCCTTCCTCCTCCTCCTCCCCTCCTCCTCCTCCTCCTCCTCCTCCTCCTCCTCCTCCCCTCCCTCCTCCTCTCCTCCTCCTCCTCCTCCTCCTCCTCCTACTCTCCTCCTCCTCCTCCTCCTCCTCCTCCCTCCACCTCCCTCCTCCCTCCTCCTCCTCCTCCTCCCTCCTCCTCCCTCCTCCTCCTCCTCCTCCTCCTCTCCTCCTCCCTCCCCCCTCCTCCCCTCTCCTCCTCCTCCTCCTTCCTCCTCCTCCTCCTCCTCCTCCTCCTCCCTCCCCTCCCTCCTCCTCCTCCTCCTCCTCCTCCTCCTCCTCCTCCTCCGTCCTCCTCCTCCTCCTCCTCCTCCTCCCTCCTCATCCTCCTCCTCCTCCTCCTCCCCTCTCCTCTCCTCCTACTCTCGTCTCCTCCTCCTCCATCCATCATCATCATCATCATCATCATCATCCTCATCATCATCATCTCATCATCATCATCATCATCATCATCATCCTCATCATCCTCCTCCTCATCATCCTCATCATCCTCTCCTCCTTCCCCCTCCTCCTCCTCCTCCTCCGTCCTCCTCCTCATGTCCTCCTCCTCCTCCCCTTCCTCCTCCTCCTCCCCCCTCCTCCCCTCCTCTCCGCCATGCGCGACCGAGCTGAGCGGCCCCCCCCGCCTCGGGGAGCCCGCCTCCCGCGCCTGGCGCTGTGGTGGTCGCCGGCCGCGGAGGCCCCCCGCGCGACGTGCGGCGCCTGCGGCGCGCGGTGCCTCCGACGCGCCAGGGGCACCCACGCAGGCTAACATGGTCAATACGTCTCATAGGTATTACAACGCCGCCAGCCTGACGTCCACATTCCAGGGTGCTGTATATTTTTCTGTTCAACAGCAGAAAAAATGGAACACTGAACAAACACGCCCCCCAACGTTTTCGAGAACAACTGAGCCCCCAGCGCCCGTCTTGAACCGCAGCGAAGCGTGAACACGGAGCCTAGGTCTTCACAACGTTCCTCCTGGTCGGATCGGGCCAGTCTAGTTCAACCCTGCGCCCGAGTTCCTCGGTCGCTCAGGCTCCCATTCGAATATACGAAGCATTACCCTGGCTCCAGCTGCTTCGCACTCAGGGAGACACTACGAGTCATACCGAACGAGCGGGGAGAGTGCCACTTGGGACTGAGGCGCTGCGCGCGAGCACGGGAGGCGCTGCCAAACATCCCGACGGTGCGGGGCGCTCGTGGGAGCCGCGCCCCCGAAGACGCCGACCTCCGCGTCTCGAGCACGAGCGGCAATCGACCGAGGTTCCGGAGCTTGGGCCCTCGGGGGACCATGCCCGACCCCGGGAGCCCACAGCGAGAACACCCCATGGTGCGAGGTCCAAGTCGGCGTTGAGCTGAGCCCGCTGGGAGAGCGCCGCAGCGCTGCACGCTGCCGTGGAACTTCACAGCTGGCGAATTGCCCCAAAGCCCCGCACCGCGCAGCGCGGTTTGACGCTGCACGCTGCCATGCGCTCGGTGAGCGCCAGAGGGGGCCTGCACCCAAAGTCGGACGCGCACGCGCCCTCACCCGGTTTGAGGCCGAGGACCCGCACTGCTGGCACCTCCTTCCTCGCTCCTGCTCCGGCATACTCCCCCCTACTGGGATGACCGTGGGGGATTCTAAGTGGATAGGGGGGTTACAAGTGGATGCCAAGGTGGGTCATGTCTGGCCCAGCCTGGCTAGTAAGTGGGTTACAAGTGCCCCGAGTGGCTTAAGGCGGGTTCGATAACTCCGCTAAGTGGGCGGAGCCCACTTAGCCCGGACCGCCAAACCCCAGAAGCCACTTGGGGCATTTGTAGCCCACTTATAAGCCAGGGTGGGCCAGATATACCCACCTTGGCATCCACTTGTAACCCCCCTATCCACTTAGACCCCCCACGGTCATCCCATTTCTATTCCTCCTCCTCGTCGACCTCTCCGTTCTCCTCGCCGCAACCGCTGAGCGCGGCCCCGAAATCCTCCCACGCCGCGCCCGGCCGACACGCGCGCCACCGGGCCCCAACGCGGGGGCCTACCCATGCCGGAGCGAGGAGGGAGGCCACCTTTAGGTCGGGCATGTCCTCCTGCAAGCGGAGTTTGGAAGAAAAATGAAAAAGAGTCATGAAACACACAAGCACTAATCAAAAATAGTGAAACAATCGTTCCCGGACTATGTTTTGATAATTATTTTCGAGTATCCCTCCTGTAGGGAGGAGGGGGAGGAGGAGGACGAGGAGAACGCGGGGATATTTCGAAACGAGGACCCAACACCACAGGACGGTGGGGAAATAATCAAGAAGTCGTCCCCGGACTCTTCTTTCACTTTTATCCTTCTACGTTCCTCCTGTAGGAGGACATGCCCGACTTGAGCCAACCTTCACACCGTCCTCTGTCCCGAGGCATGTCCTCCTGCAAGCGGATTTTGGGCCAAGGGAAACAAATCAAAAAGAGCTAGGACATACACAGGCGCGAATCAAACACAGTACAACAATCGTTCCCGGACTATTGTCTGATGATTGTGCTCGAATGCCCCTCCTGTAGGAGGACATGCCCGACGTAAGGCCACCCTTCACACCGTCCTCTGTCCCGAGGCCAGCGCCGAAGGGGCAGGGGAAGGTCGAGCGGCCGGGCCCCTCCAGGGGTGACGCGGCAGCTGCCGGCGGCGGCGCACCTTGCGCGCCACGTTCTGCACTCCGTGCCCTGTCAGTATCGCCTCCTCCATTCCTCTCCTCCTCCTCCTCCCCTCCTCCTCCTCCTCCTCTCCTCCTCCTCCTCCTCCCCCACCTTCTTCCCCCTCCTCCTCCTCTCCTCCCTCTCCTCCTCCTCCTCCTCCTCCTCCCCTCCTCCTCCTCCTCCTTCTCCTCCTTCTCCTCCTCCTCCTCCTCCTCCTCCTCCTCCTCCTCCTCCTCCTCCTCCTCCTCCTCCTCCTCCGTCGTACCTCCTTCTCCACTTTCTCCTCCAACTGCTGCGCCCGCCCCCCCGCGCACAGCTGCGCCAGGCCCAGCACCACCTCCATCTCCAGGCCCTCGAG